GTACACCAAGGCAAGCCAGATGCGGACGTACGGTACGTCAGGACAAGCCAGATCACCCAGATGCAAACGTACACCAAGGCAAGCCAGATGCGGACGTACGGTATGTCAGGACAAGCCAGATCGCCCAGATGCAGACGTACGTCGAGGTCGAGACAAGCCAGATGCGGACGTACGGTACGTCAGGACAAGCCAGATCGCCCAGATGCAGACGTACGTCGAGGTCGAGACAAGCCAGATGCGGACGTACGCCGGGCGTGTGCGCCAATAACGTTATTTTAGCTCTTTGTACGCCGCGTTGTACGCCAGTAGAAGGGCTTGGAGTCTCGTTTACGCCGGATTAATCCGTGGAAAACGGCACCATCCTGGGTATGGGCTCTGCCCTCAGCTCTTTTTCTCTGACAGGGAACAGGCTGGGAGGTTCTTTGTACACCACAAGTCTTGAAAAACCAATTTAAAAAAAACAGTCCTCCTCTCTTATTAGTTTGAGATTGCACGCGGTACTTCCTCACCTTAGTCACCTTCAAGCTGCCAACAACACAACGACGAGATTTCACGCAGCGCAGTTGTGGATTGTGGATCATTAATATAACTCTTTAAAAAAGCCCCGATGCCAACGCCTACCTACCCTCACTCCTCAGTCCTCTGTCCTCAGATTACAATAACTACACTCAGGCTGAGTGGCTGACTCAGCCAATATCTTCCGGATGTAAATCTTCATGTGTTGATAGTTAACAATTTTAGAATTGGCTCGTTTTTCAGGTTTAAGGATACCCTACTCCGTCCCTAGCCTACCTGTTCTTATGCGATTGTCACTATTTGATCTATATAGTTGTGCGCATCAGCATAGCGGCACTAGCCTACGTTGGTAGCTAAGCCTATGACGTCACCATCTCACACAATTTCTAGGTACTAGGTAGCTATAATCTATACTAGGCTGGCAGCCTGGCAGCTGGCTGAACATAAGGGCAGCCCGGGCAGGACTCAGGAGTTATAGAACAGGGAGCCTACTCGCACTGTCGCACATCCACCTCATTCTGCTGTAGGCCTACATGTTCTGATCATCGCCCAATCTGATGTTCATGCCAACTGCCCAGGCCCAGCAGTGCAATGGCCCTGCCTGCCGCCTGGGCCCTGGGGTAGGATACCAGGGGTAATACAATAAATGTTGATAACATTTACCTTGCTCAGCAAAAACAAATTTACTTATGATGTCACTAGAATATTCCTTTCTGTTTCACAGTTTCAGGTGAGATGATGATCTGAAATTTTCCATACTTATCTAGGTATTTATTTACAATTTGTGTAAAGGAACAAAAAATATGTAAGCTTTGTATAACACCAGTTATGATATAAGATAATTTTGTACCTCAATGTTAATTAAACCGGTGTCTTACCAAAATTTTTTGAGATGTAAATGTGTAGTACTATTTATTCTCTATCTGATGTTACTAAATACATGTCAGAATCAACATCAATTTTGTAAATATTCACTGCCAAAAAATGTTTTCATCACTGCTAAACAGGAGTTTTCACATTTTCATTGGATGCTAGCTCTGAGCATGTTGAACGTGTTGTACGCTCATAAATCTCTGGCCTGAAGTGGCAACCCTTGTCTACCCCATAGAGGGTAGAGGGGGAGACAACCTCTACCCCAGTAACCCCACCTCGCATGGAGGTAGACGGGCTGCACTCTTGTGGTGAAGGGGAGCACAATGAGGGGCGAGTAATAATGGATGGCTAGTAGTCGACCAAGGCCAGTTAGTTCTAGCCAACCGCAGGCCATTCCTCAGCCACCTATGAGACGGCTGTAGCCCTAAGATGGGTGCTGGCTCAGGTATCATATTACAAAGGCAACAAGCTCAAGCGCAGCCGATCTGAACACAGAACAAGGGTTCCACATTGTCGTCGCGAATTTCTTGCTCACGGACTTTGCCGCACTGTGACTACTGGCCTTAAATGGTGTGCAATTACTGGGCACTCACGGCACTGGCACTGGGAAAGCAGACTTTTTACACTCTTTCTGATTTGTGACTAAGTCAAATTAATAGACCAGTAAAATATCATGGAAACCATTTACCAGCGTTATTAATATATCTATATAGATATTAAATTAAAATTAAAGAAAAATTGCTTTTTTCTCTATGGTCTATAGAATTTACTGTATTTATTTTGCTGCTTGCCACTAAAAATTATTGTATTGGTCAGAATTATGATTTGTATGCTTTGATTGCTATATTAGAACTAAGAAGCTTTTCAATTGCACTAGAAGATTCTTCTAGAAGCAAAGAAGATTCTTCTTTGCTCTACAAAGAACTCTCTGCTTACAAAGTAATAAGTCATTTCAAAAATAGCTTTTATAACAGTTAACAAAAATATGAGGTAAGAATAGAAAGAAGCATTAAGGGAGTGTCTAGGCAAAATTTTATCTCGGCTGTTTACAGACGGATCACTCTGAAACTTGGCACACATATGTAAAACTGAAAAATAGACAGCTTTTATTCATGTCCATTTCTTGAAAAAAATGAAAGAAAACATGAAATTCTTAGAAAACGACCAAAAAAGAGGGTACTTTAAAAATCTATCTCCTCCTAGGATTTTCAAGCTACATCATTGAGACGCATATCATTTGATGCGTTAAGACCATATATATCGGTGGAATGTAGCGTTTTTTGAAATTCGGATTTTTGTGGATGGGGGAGCAATTTTTGCAAAATTTTTGAAATTTTTTTGATTTCCCCATATTTCCCCCCCTCTCCTTTTTTTCCAAATATTTTCAAAACTATAACAAAAATGGAGAAAAGCTACGTTACATGATAGATATTTTAATTGCGAATCAAATGGTAGGTATATGTCTCATTGCTGTAGCTTCAAAACTGAAGGAGGAGATAGGTTTGCAGTGACAATAAGTTAATTGTTCAGTAGAGCCTGACAAAGTCCCGGGTGCCTCAAAATAAGCATTCAAGGTGGCAAGAATGCAAGACTAGGCGATACTGGAGCTCAATTACTGTCAAGGATGGTGTGAACAACGACACGCAAACTCTCCCGTACAACTGCAGGCGGGTAACTTAAGCACATCGTATGTGGACTAGCTATTTAAGTATGCTACCGGGAATTTTCACCTATCCTAAATGTGAAAGAACTCCACCATCCCCCACCCTTTCGCGATCTGTCATGAATGCGTAAATCAACTTACAGAAATGATTTTGGTACCGTTGAATAGAGCAGAATGTCAGCTTTAAGACGAGATTAAAAACCGGAAATGCCAAAATTAAAAAATTTTGACCAGATGCTCCCCTTAAATTGTTAAGTTATTGTAAAGAGTAGTAATTAATTTCTTATTATATATATCTGATTTGTTTTTCAGTGTGGGCATGAAAAATGTTATTCATATAAAATTTAGATAAGCAAGTTGCCAACTTTGTTTACCTTTTTTTGGAAAGGAAAGTCTATGGCATCAAAAATTTAAGCTTGTTGAGAAGCAAGCAGAGACTTGCAGCATCTTTAGTTCATGGTTATTTACAGACTTGGGGCTCTAGGATGAATGTACACCATGCACAGCAGACATTCAGACTGTGTGTGCATGTTGGTGCCTAATCTCTCTTAGGATTTAGTTGATCAAGTCATGCATGTGTTGTCAGAAATGTGCTTGGTTTGATTTAGAAATACAAATTTTGAAGTGATTGTATTATCCTAATAAAAAAAAAAGATATTTCCTGCAATTTCACTAAAATTGGAGCTTGCTATCTTGCTCATCAGATAGACAAGGAAGCAAAAAAAAATTTTTTTTTGAAGCATTGTATCATGGCTTAGTTTGATGCAAAGTGGAAAGGCTTTTGTTATCTTGTATAATTGATATTTTACTAATTTTTCACTACAATCATGATGCACTGATTGTAAGTGACCATTGAATGCCTATTCTTTCAACTTGTGCATTATCATTAGAACTAATTTATGAACAGATTTCAACAAAATCAAGTCTAGGAAATGCAATTTTGTTGTTCTGATGAATGAAGCATAACTTGTTATTCAGTGTAACCCATTCAGATATTATTGCTCTATTGCTCTGTGCATTTTATATTGTTTTCAGGGTACGGTATCAGAGCTAAATTTTTTTGAGAGAAATATCAAATTTCAAGCAAGTTTTCTATCTTTTGGAAAATTGGGATTTCTATGTAGGTATATATTCCTCTCATTCTTCCCTAAATTATAGAAAAAATGTAGATTAAATTTGGAACTGCCTTTTGACTGTAACTTAAATATCAAGTGGTAGATGCTCTTCCAGGTGGAATTGTAGTTGTCCAATTAACTGAATCATGAAACCAATATTCACTAAGTAAATAAATTATCCTTACTACAGTATTTTGTTTCCACTTATGTTACAGGTTAAAAAACTGATTGTTTTTAATTACAGTTCTTCTGAATCTGTGTGTTGCTATTAATGGTTTCTTATAGATTGTTTCTTGGCTGAACATTTGGAGAGATGATGATGAGATATAGTTTTCTATCACTGGTTAGAAATGGTGAGTTGTAGTGACCTGCAATAAATTGAATTTAACCAATCTACATATTACTGAAAACTTTGAAATTTATAAATAGTGGTGCACTATGAATTTGACCATACTGTGCATTTCTACTATTTGCTCAAGGCTAAGAATTGCTAATAACATGTTTATAAAATGAAATAAATTTTCTGCATGGCTGGACTGTTTTGACAAGGTTGACAAGGTTTTTTTTTGTAGCTGGTTCAAGCCGGGCTCTGACTACCAACATTCGCTTTACACAAAGCCAAGACCATGCAGTGAGCCCTGCTAGCACAAATGTGGCTGACCACAATGAGACTCTTGGAAACAAAGGCATTGGTGGCTGGCAGATCATGACAGCTGTCTGTGTCACTCGCCATCCCGTCCTATGTCCTCCTCTTTCTCCCATGGAACACACTTATTCACAGGTACATTTCATTTTATTATCCAAGGAAAAGGTTTGATTTTGGATCATTCCTTGTATGATCTATTCCAGAAATGATCAATTTAATGTTTCAATAAAATGTTGTGATTTGTTTGAAATCCAATTAAATTAAATGCACCTCATAGTAGTGTTGAATTTAATCTATTAGTATCTAATTGATACCTAGTCAATACATGAAAGGACATTGTATATGTATATTTCTATTCGTATCACATATAGTTTGTATGCACAAATTTTCTGATAAATAAATACAATGAAGAATGTTAGTAGATAAAACAAACTGAGAATTGAATGAAGAATTAAAAAAAAAGTTATTCATCTGATGTATACCTATGATTCATGTGGCTGACATTCTGTATTTTACAGCACCTGCAGAAATTAGATGTGGAGCAGTCATTGCAGTGCGACTTTGAGCTGCAAGTGATAGAAGACAATGCTAAGAAGCTCCTAGGAGTTGAGGAGGAAGTGGAACTCCTTGAAGAAGAAGCTAAAGAGAAACGATCTGCACTGGAACAGCTCGACGTCTGGAAACAGGAGCAAGAAGAATTTGAAAAGGAGCGTGTTTATGAAGGTTACTATCTTAGCATAATATTCCTGAAGTTTCAAATAATAAATCTCTTGGCATTACTTCCTCATACTTTTTTTCATTCAAATCCTACAAATATTTTCATTAGACTACAGCATGTACCTATTTATACTTACAAATATGTTTTTTATTAATTCTTGCCTCTCAGGTGTTCAGAATAATCCAAATGTTTAATTATTTATCACCCACTGCCCATATTATTCTTAAGGTGAAATTTTTAATATGGGTTCTATTTCAAATTTTCTTCACTCCTGTAATCTCGAGTAAAGCAATTCTACTATTATTCTCGATACCTGCCTGTCTCCCAGTATGATTCATCAACATAGTACCTATTACTTAACAGGAAAATAAATCAAATTACCTCGCTTGAATTTCTAGCTTTTCACTGCATGCCAAGTAAAAAATCAACTGGGGGCTGTTTTTTTGGCTCCTGCAATTGAATCTAAATTTTCCATTTGTGAGCTTCTATAGTGAAAACTAACAGCCCTATTCAGTTACATTTAACAATGCAAGTTAATTACAACAAGTGGGTTATCTTATGCTGATTTATTGATTTTAATTAAGTTGTGATGAACTTATTTCTGAATGAGAGATCATTGGGAATACATTACAAATTTACAATTATACAATCAACATCATCCTTGAACCACTTCAAAATTCAATTACTGATATTACATATATATTTGCAGTTAAAGCGTCTGGAGGCAGCGTTGGCAGTTCACTGTCCCGACAGGTGGTCCTGGTGCAGAAGTACAAGCTGGGTTCCCAGGACATGTGGCTCTTGCCGCAAGGCCCTTGGAAACCTGGAGAGACTCTCAGGCAGGTGAGTTTGATCAATTAAATCAGCTGTTTTGTTATTCTGAAACCAATTATTGAATATGCTGCTGCTTATTCATAAACTTGTTATTCTCGATTTTTGGGAAAGTCTAAAATTTTTTTGAAGTACCTATGAGATAGCCATAAGATATTTGATTATCACTAAAAATATCTTCAAAGTGTAGACTTGTCAAGTCCAGTCGCCTTAAAACCTGCTTTAGACTTCATTAAGGCATGGTCAAGTCTAGCTAAAAACTGCCACAGTATTTCATTAATTTAGTCAGTCTCTCGTTTGGTAGTTTCTCTTGTTGATCATGCAAAGTGAAACTTCTCTTATATTAATTCATTTGGAATTTGCCTACTGAATAATTTTATTGCAATGAATTTCTCTTAAAAAAATTATGAGAAATTCATTGCAATAAAAAAATGTTAAGTCATGTCTCATAATAATACTAGACTAGACAGATATATAGGTACTGTCTAGTCCTCAAGGCATTTTATTCTTTGGATGCAATCAACTATATATTGAAAACAGTGAGCATCCAATAAAACAAGTAGCCTATGTATTTCTACATGGCCTTTAGATGCAGGTAAACATAAAGTGGAAGAAGATCGTATCAAGTCCTGGTTGCCTGGTCATAAATGAGACCGTGAAGTGGCCGCTAAATGTGTGAAGAAGATCATGTCAAGCAAGCATTGGTAACCTAGTCATAAATGAGATCCTAAATTGACCTCCAAAAATGTGCAGACAAGCGAACGTGTGGTAGCCGAGTGCTGCGATCCTTCCCTTGGCGTGCGTATCATGGGTAATGCACCTGTGGGCTTCTACAAGTACAAGTACCCCAAGGAAATGCGGTCCCAAGGCTATATTGGAGCCAAGGTACTAGCAATTGTTCAGCAGAAAGTTTTTGTGAAATAATAAATTTTTGAAATATTAATACTAGATTTAACTATTTTTTTAGTCATGGTCATGTGGATGATGCTAGTAGTGCGGATTAGGTTATATTTTGCCCTAGTTTTACCTTAGTCTTTATCATTCCGATTCCGTTTCAAATGTCTCAAACAATTTGAATTCTCGACAATATTTAGATACCCTAATAACAGTTTCAGCGTGACATTCTAACATTTAATGCCGCCAATTTATATGTCACCTAGTAAGGTTGTACGGTATTCTACCAGTAAACATGAGCCTATAACTATATAAGTTTCGCGCAATTAAGTTCTAAAATTATTGGCGCATTTTGCAGCACAAGTTTGCGTTTAGCCTGTACGCATTAATATGTTTGTGCAGGTTTTCTTTTACCGCGGTCAAGTTGGCTACAGAGTTCGTCGGTCGCTGCCGTTGCTGCAGCTGGCGAGCAAGAAGGAGCAGCAGTGGCTCACGCACGAACAACTAAGCGAGAAACTCAAGCAAAATTACGTTAAGGCTATAACTCAGTTCCTCATCGACGACAGTTAGGTAGCGTCGTTAGAGCCTTAGTTTATACGCCCACATAGATCAGAAATGAATATGTAATCAGTTTTACGACATAGTTACCCCAGCTATTATAGCCTACAGTCTAGAAAAAGGCTGAATTTTTTCTCAGTTTATAGAATTGAAACTTTTCTTCTCCGGTTAGGTTGAAAAGGTGCGATGCCTATATTGATTCTGATTAGTAATTGTTTCACATATTCTGCGAGTGCATAGCCTGGCTGAATTTTGTCATAGTTCGTGTAGGAGTTCGTTTTTTTTATTATTGTAATTGAATTGATGCTAAAAGTTGAATACTAGTACTAATTTAGTTCCACGAGATCTGTTGAAGATTTCTAGCATTCTTCGAATAACCAAATCACGACTGAACACTAGAAATTATTGCACGAATTATACTGTTCATTTGGCTCTTCAATTACCGTCAGCTGGCATATGTAATGGTGATGTTTGTCTTCGTAAATTCTGCGCACTTCATTTGTGTGTATATACGTCGAAAATTTAGTGAGAATTATGGTTTTATTTGTTAATAAAGCTTTATCTGCTTATCTCGGCACAGCCCTGTACAAACAAAAAGATGGTATTACACGCTAAGTCCGTCAGCTGTCTGTAGCAGTTCAGCTGTCTAAATAACTGGAGCTTCAGTACGATGTCTGTGGCTCGTTATCCCATATTCGACGAACTGTACTTCGACTGTTCTTTGTTGGTACTTATTCCTCATTAATAATTAATGTGTTTTGATTATAATTGATGTGCTTAATTATTTGCCCAAGTGTCATCACTTATTGCCATTTAATTCTCCATCCAGTTTATACAGTAAAAGCTTATGCTAATTCAGGTTTACTTTTGACCCTACCTGTCAAACGGAGGTAATTAATTTCTGAACATTACATTTAGAATTGATTTATTTTAGGCTTTAATTCGCTCCTTGGTAAACACTTTGTATACTTAAGTGACGAGAACTTGTATTTTCAATGTGGAACGACAATTAGCATCTGAAGACCTTCTCTAGATGTATAGAAGTATAAGGACAAAACCAGCCTGCCGAATAGTAGGAAACCTTTGCCAGTGAGCATGAAAGAGATAGCGTTGTAATTTATTTCTCCGTCAATCCTCATTGCATCCCGTCTCTATCAAATCGAGAAATATATTCTTTCAATTAAAAAAGATACTGTTCTAATGGAGTTTGTGGTCAACGTAAGCTCAAGTTTTTTTTATGATTTGAAATAGTTCCACCCTGCCTTTCATGTTCCAACTATGGAGGAACCCAGAGTTTCTTATGGAATAACTTTTAACAAGAATAAAATATTGCGACGAAAATTCGAGGTTTGCCAAAGTTCTATAAAATGTGTTGTTATTAAATTTAAACATAATTCCTGATAGGTGTGACTTTATCACGGAGATGCGTGTCCTGTGTTGCGCTGACTCGTGAGTGCATTGTATTACATCTAGTCTCATCACAATGTTTTCCTACACATTGTGCTTGCGGCTACTTTGTTGTAAATAAACTGTTAATATTTGTGATCCATCGGAGTTTTGTTCTTGTAATTCATCTGGTTGACGTGGGATTAGTAACTGGCTACTACTAATGACCATCCAATTTGTTGTTAAGATGAGGGCTCGCACGTAGCATGTGAAACATTGATTGGCATATGGAAAAATGGTAAATGAAAATTATTAAGTATATATTTTATATAATAACGAGGGAACAAATATTAAGCTCAGCGAGCTTGTAGGGAACATGCAGCTTAGTCATCATCATCATCGAAGTCGTAGCGCTGGACGATTGGAGACCCGTAGCTCCTGAAGGTAGGCACTGAGTAGTAGCTTTGGCTGTAGACCTTGGCAGGTGCAGCAACATGAGAAACAGTGGGCGTGAAGAAAGTCCTGGCAACAGATGGGGCGCTGTAGGAGACGGGGATAGGTGCACTAAAGGTTTGCACTGAAGGCGCCACCACGGCAGATGATGAGTAGGTCTGAACACTTGGCTGCGCGGCTCCGAATGAGAAGCCGACAGGCTGAGCAACTGCGATGGCGGGGGCTGTGTAAGACTCGGAGGCATGGACCACTTGTGGGTTTTGGAAGGAGAATGTCTCGACGTCCTGGGGTTGTTGGACGGAGTACGTCTGGGGCTGTTGGACGGAGTATGCCTGGACAGCCTGGGGTTGTTGGACGGAGAACGTCTGGACAGCCTGGGGTTGTTGGACGGAGTACGTCTGGACAGCCTGGGGTTGTTGGACGAACGTCTGGACAGCCTGGGGTTGTTGGACGGAGAACGTCTGGACAGCCTGGGGCTGTTGGACAGAGTACGTCTGGACAGCCTGGGGTTGTTGGACAGAGACCGTCTGGACGACGGGAGTCCTGCCTACCGACACGAACTTGACGTCGTCGTCATCATCATCGTCGTCGTAGGACGAATAGAAGCCACCAGTGTAGGCGTTCGATACGGGGGAGACAGCTGCGCTGCTAGCACCGGAGTAGAAGATTGATCCAGATGAGACAACTGGTGTGATGTGTGATGACACCACTGGAGCTGATGGAACAACCGGTGCGGCGTATGATGTCACCACAGTGCGGACATCATCATCGTCGTCGTCGTCGTCACCATCAGCAAAGTAGGCTCCACTCCTGAACCCCGAACGGACTCCTGGGGATGAGAATAGTCACTGAGAAATGTTTCATAATTCATGTTTTATGTGAAGTAGAATGTTTTCCGTATTTAGCCCTAAAAAACGCTAGTAAAGCGACTATAGCTTGAATGATTTAAAATAAAGCGATTTATGTTCTGTAAGTAAAATTATCACAACATGCAAATTAAATCTAAATTCCATAGCTTCCTTAAAATTATTTTTTCACACCTCTGCTTGAGAGATGTGTTTTCGAAATGTGTGCGAGTGCTGGTAGTGAAATTTCAACTTTTGAGAACAAATATGTGGGTCCTGAGCTAACAGTTATCCTTTCTTATTATCAGTGATATTTATCATAGGTTATAATTTATGAACTGAATCATATTTACGTGACCAACTTGACTCACCAACTGCGTCATCGTCATCGAAGTCATCTGTGGGAGACACGGTGACCAAATTAATCTCAAGTTTTTAACAATGAAACACGTTTGTAATTAGGGGCCAAGATAAAAATAAAACATCAATCAAAAGATGAAATGATTTTCAGTGATATTTATAAGGTACGATGTAGTCACATGCATAACATATTCAGTCGTTGAGCTCGGGTTTCACCGTCGACTTATTTCAATCATTAGAATTGTTGCCACCTATATAGCTCGATATTAGTAACTCAAACTGACTAATCTTGCCAATAGAATATGTAATGTAACAGTCTAGCGTTATAAACAGTTAATGAAATTGAACTTTAGTGCTTACTCACCGTCAAAGTCCGGTGTTGGTGCTGCTAAAGCAAGGCCGAGCAGAGTCAAAAACAACTGCGAGAGAAATAAAAATATTTAAGAAATCAGCGACATTTACTTAGAAATCTATTTACATTTCATACCATAACTTTGGCTAGAAATATGCCTATGAACGATACAGAAGAAAGACATTATTATTTTAATACTGTACCGATTTATCAAAAGTGTAATGTACTAATGTTGCATCGGCTGGTTTTCATGAAACATATCTTGTTAAGATAGAACTCTTTTGCCCAGTGAATATCGCGAAAAAATCAATGCGGCTTCCGATTGTCTATGAATGTCTATCATCAACTAACGGGTTGTTTCTTTTATAGTGCATTTTGAAGACGATCGAGTTTCCTAAAAACAAACTTGAAACTTTCAAACTTGTCTATACCAGAGCAGGCGGACGACGATTACCTTGGATGAAGTAGAGCACTCTCGTTCATCTCGGGTAAACAACACTAGAATGGAATTGATTTACTTTACATCACGAAGAACTTAACGGGAGGGTGGGCTCAGCTTGCACTAATGCTCACACAAATAATTTGAAATGTCATAAGCAACACCGAAAATATAACGTGCATAAATGGCCACAGAAGCATTCATAGAAAAAAATGCATACGTTTTAAACTGAAGTATCGAAACCTCACAGCCATCTATACGCAATAACGAACATCTATAAAAAGCTGAAGGCAATCTGCTGTTTCTTAGACCGAGATAAGCGTACTATCCGTGAGTTGCTCTGAATGTCAAGCAAAAGATAAAAAAACGTAAAAAACCCTTGTGTTGTTTACCATGTCTGACTGCAGCACCATAATTAGCGTGCAAGTCTAAAGTCAATGGCAATCAAATTCATTAACATGGATTGCTAAGAACTATGTTTTATTGCATAGCGTGCAAGAAATGCCTCATAAATCTTGTATTAATGTATCATTTAATTAATATTACGATTTTATTGGTTACCATGTCTCGAATGAAAAATATCTGTTGTTGAATCTGAAAATATCACAAGTTCCAGAGCACGTGTGTCAATTCTACTGCGTTTGTGGAGACCGATCAAACAGGCATAACAATTGTTATAAAAATTATAGCTATAACTTCGTTCAAAACTAATAACTTTATTTTATGAATTCTTTTGTTTTTAGAGCAAAGCAAGCAAGAAGCATAGTATTCCTGAAGGCAAAAACTCCCGGGAGGAACTGGTGCACTTAGGTGTCTCAATAAAGATAAGAGAGCGCTATTCTTTAGCAGGCCATGGGTGAGGTACCGAACTAGCTACACATTGCATGATATTCGTCCGCACAACAAAAGCAGTTCAGTCGCGCCGGATGTTGGAAGAGGAACCATTTACGATATCGACCAAGTAGTTATTCTCGGGAGTATTTAACATTCTGCGTGTTTACTTACCACAATGATAGATGTATTGTATTATGCGTGCTTATCTTCAACATAAATATTAAAAAAATTGTTAATTACTCTACAAATATCGCGATAATTATGAAGAAAACACAAGTTAACAAAATAAAAGTATAGTGATCTCGACAAAATGAAACAAAATAGAGAGATGATTGTTGAAAACAGCTCCATAATTATAATGTCTAATGTTTTGAATGCGTATGAAAGTTAGACTTAAACCCGATTTTACCAATAGCCGAAAAATAAGGCTTTGCTGATAACGAACCAGCTCCCTGGAGTGGAAGAATTTTTAGTTAAATGGAATATATTTTTTAATAGACTGAAGGACGAAGCCCACACCCCTGAACAACAGGTTCGCCAAAAACGCAAGACACAGAAGAGAAGGCCTCAAGTCCATAAATTTTCCTGTATTCTTCAACGAGCAGCGATAATTTTTTGTACCGTGATAATTCAGGTAGGATTGCTTGCACCTGCTGGATCACTTGCAGATAAATTAAAGGCTTGAATAACCGGCTTGAGGATTTGGGCGACATTGGAACAACATGCGGCTTGGCAACTCAAGTTTTATGATATTATCTTTAGCAGTAACTTTAGTAATTATCTTTCAAATAGTTCTTAAACTTTTGTTCACATTTATACGGACGAAATGTTAATCTACAATTAATACAAAATTTTATCAATCAAGACCAATTACAATCACAATAAAAAACGAGTTGAGTCTGCTGACATTCGCAATAAAACCCAGACTATTTAAAAAAAAATTGAGAAGAATCGGTAAAATTCTGGAAACTAACACATTCGACGGGAGAAAACGTAATGATTTGGTGACGCTGGTCACAGAAATGTTGTCCGTAATTTATCGTTAAAAGACTTATCACGGGTGATTGAAATATATACAAAAAATATCGTCCTAAATTGTTTCAACTCTACTTCTCATGAGGTGGTTTGCTCTAATTATGAAGTTATTTACGCGATAATAGCGCTTTCTTCGTGAAAGGATTATTGTGTAATCCAGTCATGTCAAAATTACAAGATCAATAGAAATGATTTTTTTTTTTAGAGTTCACTGAAAGTAAACTATATACAATTTGGGACGTGAAAATGAAATTCGTTGATAATTTACGAAGTACTTTGAATAGAATCAGCTGAGCAAAAAAATTGTTGAAATTACTTCAAATCCATTGATGAATATAGGCAGTATATTGATGTTCAAATTTCTGTAGGAAGTATTTGATTCTTGTTACTTTTCTAATCATTGTGTTGATTGCGGTCAGGCATTATTTTATGAATTTTATCACAATAAAATTGTTAGTTTATTAATTTTTCCTTAATTGGTCAGACTTGCGTTTAAATTTTTGTCATGAAAGTAAATTATGTCTACATTTTAATAATTAAATACGGATAAAAAATAAAATGGACATTTAGCATTAATACGGATATTTTCTTAATTAATTCTCACCAAAGTCTTCATTTTAGTGTTGTGAGTTGGTAGTAACGGAGAAGTGTAGCTGATGAAGTGAACGATTGAACTGCGGACGGTCCGAACCATCCAGCGCTTTTGTAGTCGGGCGGCCGCTCTGCAAGGCCATCTCTGTTCGTAGGGCACGCCCGGTTCCAAAATGCATCATTACTTTAATGCTAGTCTTCCAATGCTTCAAAACCTTAACTATCTAGTTGGCATGAATTGCAATTGAATCATTATCCAAGTTTATATAAGCAGATATAGATAAAAGAATAATAGTGAGCAAGAAGTTGAGTCATGGTTCAGATTGTTCAACTCCACTTCGGGCAGAAAGAGAACCAACCCCTCGATAGGCACGCTAGGACAACGTGCAGCCTTGAACCGGTTTCGGTTCGGTAGGGCGGGACACACCTTTAAGCAGGATGTAGTGATGTGTTCATAAATCGCACAAATGTAATGTAGTGATGTGTTCAGCATGAATAATTTGGTTTGATGATATATAAGACAAGCTGGTTGATAAAATGACCTGTCGTGATACATTTGAATATCATTTGAAGGTTGTGACCTCGTCATGAAATTCCGCACAAATGGTTTCTGCAATTACAAACGATAATCCGACGGAGCCAATGGACTGAGACGTGTTCTTTTGAAAATCATAGTGTACCTCAGAAAACGCGTCGCTAAATGACACTGCGCTCTATTATGAAAATAACGTGCAATATTCATCACAGGCTTCATCTTCATTCATCACAGATCCTTAAAAACATCTGTGTTACTTGAAAAATCCTGATACATGAATCATGGAATGACTATAATTTAAATATACGTGAAATTATCTTCGGGTTCGGATCTAAGAATACGGAATTAAGTTCCGGGCATTTACGTTTCACGTGTACCTCGCCGCAGCGCTCAAAGTTCCTAGAACTTGTTTCACAACCTGCACTTATTCAAGTTCAAGATGCTGATAAGCTGATCACCAGGGTCGGTTCATGTGCGAGCCTCTCAAGGACAGGGACAGATTCTACGATCTTTTTTGGTGCACCTTGGTCCTCCTAGCCCGCATGCTAATACGATTTTTTATTAGTGGACTTGCGGGCAGAAGATCTGAGCGTAATAAACGCAGAGAGCTGTGCCGCAGAAGGTAATTGAGGTCTTCGCGGGCTAAAGGAAAATTCAATTTATTAAGCATCACGTGTTCGCCGTATATTAAATATTGTGACCTCAAAGTACATATCACTTAATTCATTGTAGGCATTAATGAGTTGTCTTTCAGAATAATCATACGAAAATCTTCCTTTGTACAATTTACCAATTGGATCAACTATGGATTTGCTTCCGAGGAGAAGCAACTTTCAAAAAGCAACTTACTGATTTCTGTTTCCCCTCAAATTAATTGTTAAAAAGATTATTGACTATTGAAATTATATTTTTTGTGTTTTCTCTTGAGCGTAATAATCAAGATGCATTCAGCTAGGACAATGATAAAGAAACCAATTTATTACGACCATAACTCGTTAAAAATCACGTGTAGTCAACGTTATTTCCACGTTGTTTGCCTGGAGGGATCTTCAGCGATCGAGCAGCAGAGGACATCGTATACCTACAGACGTCTGCCAACGACGAGACAGCCTGCCACGCCTCTGGCTAATTTTGTTTATTTCAGACTTCAAATGTTATGATGAGTTGATGAAAAAAATGACAAGGTCATATATTGGGACGCATGAGTGGCATTGGGAGACTGCATCTGCCGCACCCTTTTGCTTCATCTTCCATGCTTGAAATTAGGGACAGCTGGAGAGGGGTAAGTATATGGATGGAGACTGCGTCAGACTATTTATACGTTTAAGCTGGTTAAATTTGCAATATTTCTCATTACAATGTAAGCTTGATATCTTAGAGCTGAAACTGAAACCAAACTAAATAAATTTCTAAATAATTTAATATTAGTATAGTATCATTTCAATATCACTTGCAGGCATTAAATCAATTGAATTCAAGTAGAAGTTTTCATGTTAATGTATATTACAGCCTCTGTCAAATATAAACTTCGTAACGACACTATTTATGCATCACATATGATAAGTGCAAAATGCAAGAAAAATGTCAGCATTGCCTTGAAAAAGTTCAGGAATTACATTTCGTTCAAAACAGGAATTGCTGGAGCGACCTGCATCTTCTTGACGCTCAGCAATGCGCAGTGCCGACTCGTCAAAGTTCGATGTTTTGGAGCAACTTTGCCGTGCAATTATTATCTCTCGTAACACGACAGGAAACGTTATTTCTATTGAAATTTCTGCATGTGTTCAAGTCTGAGGGATGTTTGAGTTGATGAGTATAACGGAACGTAATATTGGTTCACATGCGGCTCATTACCACAGTGAACATTTTCGTGCCGCAAAATACTATACAGAAGGAAATATATATAGTTGCTAAGTGATCGAAAAACCTTTTTCGTTCAAATTATCATATCTCAGATATGGAATCACATTTTTCGCGATATTAATTTGTTGCTCATTTTCCTGTGTTTTCCACTTATAGCGCTAAAAATCATATTCATATGCGTTTTCTTCCGACGTATCTACTTATGTTATGGGCTCATCTACCACTTACGACTAGCATTATAAACAAATGAGTTTTCGAGTCCACAAGTTAATTATGATGCCTCACGTCGGAGGCAAAATGGCAAGCAAAACAAATCATTTACTTTTACAGAACTTGACAAATTTTACACAAGCAAATAATATATATACGAAGTTCTTTGATTCTTAGCTGGCATACATTTCTTGTAGATTGCATTGAACCTTTTGAGCGCATGGATAAAACTACACTGTAAAATTAAGCCTTATTCCACTAAACCTTTAGACTGATCGGCTTAAACACATAAACACTAATAGTTAATATTTTGCTTATGCTCGCTCTCTGAAATATCTCTATCAAAAGAAATGAATTCACGGGATCCTTGATTACTTGAGTTCGCCAGTACTCGCTGCACAACTGACTTTTTAAGTTATGTGTTCAAGTTAGAGTTAGTATGGCTCGGTGAAGACCAAAGCTTGTGCAGCAAGCAAAAACTAGTCAGCTACCGCCGTAGTGGTCAATATTGACGGGAGCTTCAGCTCTGCAAGCGGCAGGCGACTAGTCCGCTTTGAATAGAATAGAATAGAAGTGTCGGCGTTGAAGAAATAGGCCCATGGCTTGTTGTCGATTCTTGAATTTTTCGTGACTTGATTCACAAGGGATCCGGCCTTTGGAACCCGATCTTTCCATAACTGACGATTGATTGAGATAGCTGCTGGACTTATTGCCTGGTCCGTAATTTGCTAGGCATTTTAAGACTGGACATCTGCTCCTGCATAGCTTCGTCTGGACTTATTGCCTGCTCCGTAATTTGCTAGGCATTTTAAGACTGGACATATGCTCCTGCATAGCTTCGTCTAGTCTGTTTTAATAAGTCTTGATGTTGTAACTTCAATTGTAATTTCAGGCGTAGAAGTACTCTATCTGGAACTGAAATAAGTTGAAAATTTGATTTGAATGCTTCATTGATATAAGTGGATAGACAAAATAATAATATAAGCAATTCCGATTGCAATGGGAATTTTCAATTTATCAATCTTTCCATTTTCCAAGTTCAGGTTATATTCGAATTTGAGATCACCAATAATTTCTGTTATTTTTGACTTAATTGAATGCAAATTTATACTTCTATATTTGAGTTGTATATTTCTGCACATGTTTTAGTAGACCATCTATTTAATAGGTACTATATCTAATGTAGGAAGACAGTGCATTTGCCATTCGGAACTATTACAAATTATTCTCATTATCTTAACTTCATTGGACGTAACTCATTCCTGTTGATAAGTTCACACAAATATCCTAATATACAAAATAACATGAAAGTTACATTTATTTGTGTACGAGAATTGGCAAATGTGCGAATATAGCTCGACAAAGAATCCGAGCTTTTTATTATCGCTGCTTTGGGCAAAAATCGCATGTCTGATCGTAACCGGTAGCGATGGAGCCGGTTACAGTCAAACTCTCTGCAGTCATGGGGCGAACGCAGCTATCCTTATTCTCGAATGAATAAATCAGAAACAGAAAAAAATATTGTGGACATCTTACTTTATTATACAATCAAAGCCGAATTTTTCTGATTTATTCGATACACTAAATTCTATACAGTAATTAGATCAGTAAATAGCCAATGCTCGTTCAAACCGTTTCGAACGATCACATACGACCTCAAAAAAATTGATAATTTTGCGTAAAACCCACGCAATTCAGATCCATGGTTAGCAACCGAGGCGCAATATGCGGTGGCCTAATTGAATGCATGAGGTTAGTGAGCGATTATTAATTGTGGCATTTATGTCTGCAATTCAGACGCACCTCAGCTAGTGGCTTAATTTTTTGTCACTTTATACGTTTGATTATTTGAGAGGATAAAAAAATTTGATAGATAACTTAACAATAACGCACGAGTTTATCTGCGAACACAAGTTTTTTTTTATATTGCACGCAACTGGAGCAAATTAACTGACTTAGCATTACCAGCAATTTAACATTTCCGCATTAAACTCTGTTGGCGATAGAAACCTGTCATTGTTTTTTTTCTGATCTTCATTTTGAGTTTGTGGGCAACATGGGAATTACCCCAAACGGACAAAAAATGAGCCCAAACTGAGCTCGAACGCGTGAGCTTTTTAAGCGACATTTTTTTATATATTTTTTTGTATTTTCCGTGTTTCTTTCACAACCAAACAACGCGTAAGTTTCATCAATTGAATACACAAAGTCATGAGGTCTGATGATCGAAAATCGAATTTTTGTGGACCCTTTTTAAAAGTAAGTAGATCGCTTGTACCTATAGTGAATAAATTTTTCCCGGGCAAACTAACCCTAAAACAAATTAAAGCTGATAACATAAACAGATTATTACAATTATATTAATTATTTTTTACCTATTCATAAATATTACAAGTTCTTTTAATACTTTTTTCTCACTCAGACAAATATTAGAAAAGCTTTTTTGTACATGAACAGCTTGGTAGTGCTCTCATATCACATCGTTCAA